TTGCCTCTCACGCTTCTTTCTATCATTAATTGATAATGATTAGCGATGAATTTACACCGCAAAAAAAGAGGTATATTATTTTAAGACAAAACTGCATGGATGATGTTAGTGGCAACCTCGCTGTTAGCCTGTTCATTCTTGGATTCATTGCGTGTTGTCAGCAATCTCAGTCTTATAAATGCCATCTCGCATTTGATTGTCAATGCGATCCTTGTGTTTTATTGTCTTGTTCAGGTGATATAATCATTCAGTTTTGACAACCATCATTTCTTAGCACTGTAGTCATCAAATATATGTATGCAACATGCACTGTACTTTTGCTGGTGAGGAAAATGTGAATATCATCTGTTTTTTTTAGATCTCAAATTGGGTTTGGTCAGAGGTAGCCTTTTTTCCAGATCTTCGTATCATACCTACCATGTTCGGTGTGGTTATTTTTGGTTATACATCTCATATTTTCTTGCCCTCCTTAGAAGCTTCCATGAAGGTATCTGTTTTCGTTGACTTGGTAGTTTTATTTTCAGTGATATTACTCGACCATCAGATAAAAAAAAGCTTGAAAATTTTCAAAGTGCTTGTTACTGACTTTTTGCAACAATAATATATACGTCAATTCGTAAAATGTCCAAAAAATATTTTGAAATATTATCAATAACCCCTCAGCTATTTGCTGACCTATCTGTTTGCTTCTAATACTAACCAAACCTCCTACAAACTTACCAGGACTTGATTTTGCTTGAGCTTGAATTTTGAAGTGGAAAAAAAATAATATGGCCAACAAATCTGTAACACGGTGTGATACAAGCAGGAATTTGAATTTCAAAGAATCTCCATAAGTGATTCAGGATCCGAGCGAATTCAAGTGGATGCTGAAATGGTCACACATCGTTGCTGCCGTATTCAAGTCGATGTTCGGCCTTCTCGGTTTCCTGACATTCGGCGAATTAACACAAAATGAATTTTCAAATTCATTACCAAATCAAGGATTTAAGGTAAAAATAATAATGTGTTGATTTACTGATGATTTTTACAACAAATAATTATTAATTTCTGCATTATAGATTTTGATCAACTTAGTTTTGGTTGTCAAGGCACTCTTTTCGTATCCGCTACCATACTTTGCTGCCGTCCACTTAATACGTGAAAACTTTTTTCAAGGGACTCAAAAAACTTTGTTTTCTAGGTAAAATAATTTATGACTTTTGCTTTTTTGTCCATAATCGATTACACAGAGTAGTGTCGTTTATGTAAAGTGATTTATCAAATTGAAAAAACTCTCTCAACCGGTCCACTTTCGACATCTTTATCCAACTATTTAACAACTGGTTTACATTAATAAACTTCCGAAATTATACTATGCCATTATGGACACGCTAACCGTCCAAAAAATTTATTTCAGCAAAAACTCCGAAATATCAATGTCTTTTTTTTACCTCTTTTTAATGCACTACTTATCCTTCTCATAAAATCACATCTATTTTCAGCTGTTATGGCGTTGGCAACACTTTACGTGAGTGGGCACTGTGCTTAAGGATTATTATGCTACTATTTACATTGTTTGTTGCTTTGTCGGTACCTTATCTAATTGAACTGATGGGACTTATTGGTAATATCACTGGAACGATGCTAAGCTTCATTTGGCCAGCATTATTTCATCTTAAAATTAAAGGATCAATGTGCGATCAACGACAAAAACGATTTGATTACTTTATCATTATCACCGGCTTTACAGTAATGATCATTGGAGTATATTACTCCTCTGTCGAATTAGCTAATGCGATCAAGTACTCAGAAGAGAATCTCAGACAGGCTTAAACAATACACCTGTAATTCGAGATGCAAATCTTGCTTTCCTTTAACTCAAGTAATGACCACCTTCATCACCAGCGTCTTATAACAAACACTTACCCTGTTGTAAGTGCTACCAAAAATTTAAATTGTGACCATCAGCCTTCCAGTACCTTTTTACTTAATTAAAATGCTATAATCCAGCAAAGTAGCCATTAAGACTTTTGTAACATAACTCTAAAAGCACTGTCCAAAAATGATAAACTAATAAATTAAATGTAACGAAGCTTACTTATCCAGCTTCAACAAATTAATAGTTTAAACAGCACATCTCTCGCTTGACACTAACATGCTAGTCAAAATACGATCCCTTTTTAAAATAAAAACTCCGGTCCCTGACATCTTAACAGCAAAAATCACAAAAAAAGATTTTATTCTGACGTTCTAGAGAAAAAACTGACTTCATTAGAAACAAAATGTAGCTAGAGAGTAAAAAGGTAAGAACATTCAACCTAGTTAGCTAGGCAAAAGAAGATAAAAGTATAACCTATTACACAAATTATTTCACAGGAAGTACTGATCACAACAAAATAAGTAGGAAAATAGCTAATACTTCAGTAAAAAAGAAAGCACAAAACAGAACAATTCATATGGTACAAAAACTGATGAACACCCACAGAACCAGTAAAAAAAGAAAGCATTTCAACAAAAATAGTAAGATATCCGAATAAAACCACTAACTTTTAGCAATAAAAATTTTAAATTATCTCAGAGAATAATCCAACAAACAGATACTTCAAACGAAAAAAGAAAGAAAACAATTTATAAAATCTCAACTAAAAAATCTGACGGAAGGTAAGGAAAATGAGTGACTTTCTTCACTATGCAAGCTCCGCAAAAGAGCTACTGTGTTTCAAAATGCGAGGTCTGTGCAGATTTTGACTCAAATAAAATTTTCACAAGTTTCTGATAACCAACTAAGCAATTTTCTTACATTCTTAATTTTTTGGCTTTACCTGAACGTCTACCTTCTTACTGCACCTGCTTAATGCTATTTCAACAGAAAATTTTCCAACTCGTGCAATGATAAAGGAAAAATGTTGCTAGGAATAAAATTTTAATACAACAAAGTTTTAAAAGTGTCCTGCTTTAAACAGACTAAAAAAACATCAACTAAAACTGTCTTTCTTCGCAGCTTAATCTCGTCAGGCAACTTTGAATTAAAGAAAAATATAAAAATACGAGCGACCACAATCTGAAATTCCACCTCACACGTATTCAAACAAAATTAAATAGATTTCTTATTCAGAAAAACTAGGTGTTGACGTGACTCAGCAGCAGTAAAAAAACCATAAAAAGCAACAAATGTATCATATAGTTCTAAACTCCCAAATCTCTATACACAAAATTTCTATAGTGTGTAAAACAGTAAGAAATGCCCATAACCATCAAGAAACAATCAACATAACCGTTAGACGACCGAAAATGAATCCAAAAATACACAGCTTACGAGCTTCCGATTTTGAAAAACTCCAGTCGTGCCTCTCAATACTTTATTTGCAAATGCTCAATTTAACTTATCAAAAGATAAAACATTTGAATTACTCATGGAAGACACTTTGTCATTAAAACTAAAATCAACCACCATTGACTCTCTCAAGACTTATCAAATATGTAAGAGTCAACAGAGCATACCCGCATAAAGCAGTGAGCATCATTATAAATCATTGAAATGAAGTCTACAAACATCAGTCAACTTTGCTACGAGGCACCTGTTTTTGATGTCCCACTGCCCTGAAACCATGAAGAAATACTTGATTTCACTTTCATACCCCTCTCAGAAAAATATTTCCCTGTAGAAGTGACAGCAGTCAGCAGACGCCTTCCTCCGTCAGGAATCCCCGAATGTTGAACTTTGAGAAGTACGTCTGACACTCCGGTCGCTCCCGCGAAAGGATGACTGCAAATAGAAAACGACGAAACACTCTTAACAGAATTAGCAACACAAACTGTGAGGCAAAAAAAATACATTTACCCAGGAACAGTACTAGAGAGATCCGGATAGTCGCCACTCGACCAAATTCGGAAGTTATTAGTTAACTTCCACTCGGCAATAAAAGAGTCATTAAAATCAGCACATACTTCTTTAAGATTACTTCTCGCAGAAGCAATCAATGACAGTAAGTAAGCACGAGTCTGAAGCCGAACCCAGTCATCACTACCATCCCAATCTGTAAGACCTATGTTAGAAAACAACTAAAACCAGAACAGAAAAAATTTGAAGCAGAAATGACTCCAGGAGTACAAAAAACTAAAAGACCTGCCGCACTAATATTTGCTTGAACTCCTTTTATTATGAAGTCGGCAAAACGTAAATCCGCTGCTGTCAGTGACAAGGTCTTCTTTAGTTCGTCATTTACTATATCAATGACACCTTCTCCACTCTCACTGATCTAATAGTTCAAAAGATCAACATACTACACAATGCACAAATAAAAAAAATTTACGAAAACCAACAAGTTTCAAAGAGTTAAAAACTGACAAAACCTAATGTTAAATGATTGTTGGAGAAATTTATTAAGGCCTTTTCTAGACAATCGTTGAACAGTATTTACGTATAGGCAATTTGTAGAACAAATACCGTAACAATAACATCGATAGTGTCTCGACGTTGCACAAAAAGTGCATTTGTTGCTCCTATACAATAAGCACGAGTATTCACCGAACGTATAACGTCAAGATAGCTGATACTCAAGTATGGATGAAAGAGCGCACCCTGGAAAAGCCAAAGGTTAAAATTTCAAATAAGTCAGAAAAGAAATTAACGGTACAAGTAGCCTTCCGCTTCCGTATTAATTATCTAAAATTCTTAATTTTCAATACTGTAGTATAATATGACAGAAAATATACAAGTTAAACAAATTAACAAAAAACGATTGTGAAAGAATAACAATAAGGAAATAGACCTTCGTAAAAATGCTCAGTGGAAATCCATATGTATCTGTCTCAAGATTATACAGTGACTTCACATCAGTACCTAAGGCGTCTGTCGCTTCAAACGCCAGTTCACAATAATTATCATGCTCTTGCTGACGATTTAATGCCAAAGAAGAAGGCCTTTCAGCAGTTCCTTCTGCATTTGCAGATGGGACTACACTATCATCCGTTTCATGCATTTCTTTATCCGTACTTGAAGAAGCAAAACCTAAGCACTTATAGAGCTATAAAGTCAACAATAAATCAATATCCAGGAAGGAAAAAATTTTAAGTAAAAGTAAAGCATTTAAAAACGGGGTATATAAGTAGCCCTTTAATACGAGTAAATAACAATAAAAGAAGTGAAGTTAATCAAGACCTTCAGAGTCGCACGCAGAGGAAAATTCAGAATGAAGATTCGATGTCTTGCAGTAGGCTGCAGCTTGGAATAACCCATCTTCAAGTAGGCCTAAAAGTAAAAACAATCGACTATAGAACCCAAAAAAGAGCTAGAAAGTGAAATTTGAGAACTGACGTGGAAATAATGACACAAGTCCAAGTATTGTAATTCCAAGACGGTGAACAGGCGTTATGTAAAAAACGACCTGAAAAATCCTACAGTTAGTCTTATAAGACCAAATTAAATATTGTTCCCCAGTTTCTTATTCTGATTAGGGCAAGCATTAATACCTTCAGAAACTGTTTAAAAAAGTCTGAACTATGTTAAAAATAGGAACTACAATTTTATAATTTGCGAAAAAGCCTGGTTTCGAAAACCAAATATATTTAAATCGCAACTTACTCTTTTTTCGAGCAAGAGAAGTTTGAGCAATGTTAAGAAACGGTGTTTAAAACATATTATGAGAGATCTTGTAGAAATATCTGAAAAAAAATAGATTTTACTGAAGGTACTTCTAGTTTAAAATTGTAGACTGCAAAAAATTAGTTACTAAAAGTAATAAAACAAGAGCAGAAACCGATAGAACTTCGTTTCCCACAAAAGATCTTTCAACAGATCAAATGTTACCTTCAGCGATATATTATTTTGTATTCTTGTAATGTAGAAATAGTTTTACTTGGAAAATTTGATTGTGCTCTGCTATGTCCCAATATAAAAATATTGCTTTAGAGAGAACAGTGCTTTACTTTTTGTACCACAGTGACATAATTTTTTAAATATGATTGTAAAATGACCCATATTTTGTCAAGAATTCTCACTTGGACAAAAGAGCACAACTTATGGAAAATCTTCTGAAGTTCCTAATTTTTAGATACAAACAAACACACTATGAAGATCATGACCTTCCAGAGAAAATGCAAAAAAAATGGAAACTAGCGAAGAAAAATCTGAGAAAGTAACAAAATTCAGTATCCCCTTTCAGATTAACTGCTTCCATTAGAATAAAAATGAAGTTTTTTACCCATTGAAGCGGCTCCTTCATCTATGTTATCGACGGTGAATAAGTCACACAAATTGCTATACATCTGTGACAAAACCTCCACCTAAACAAATATTTATTTCTGTAACTAAATAAAAAAAAAAAATTTCATTTCAACAATGAACCTTAATACCTTCTCAAAATCTCTTTCATTAAAATAAACTCTGGTAATTAATTCTAGCTTGGCAGTAAGTACGCCAAATAAAGGTAATGTAGATATCACACAAACGCTTTTCTGGACAGTATTCCTGGTTACTTCATTTGGTCTATTGATCAATTCCTAAATTTTAAAACAAATAGACGAACAGATGTGATTAAACAAGCTGTTTTCAAATGAATCTTTAAACATAGCAAAGTTTTTCAACCTTCCAATCAATTTTATCACCATTATTTCTACACTGTTGAGTCAAATCTTATTTACCTTGCGAGGCATAAATATATTTAAGATCTAAAAGGAACTGTGATAAAAGAAGTTTTTTTAATTTATTAACTACTGCTATAAAAGTGTCTAACTTCGGCTTGAATCTGTCGGTAACATGATATTCCGAACACTGTCCGATTGGGATTATCCAACGAGGGTAGGAGGAAGTAAATAATATCTATAAATACCTACGTTAAACACTGGTAATCCAATAAAGATTAGAACGACAACGGAACACCAACAAGCCATAGAAAGTGACGTAAAAGACTAATACCTTGTTCCACATTATGTGCACCATCAGGAAGTGCTAACGTTGGAAGATTCTGCCATAATAACGGTACACTACCGTCATCACTAAGTGGCGGATAACAGTACTCTATCTAAAAGCGACAAAAAAAGTGAAAAATACTCAGCTTTAAACTGGAACTTTATCTAAGTCACTACCAAAGCAAACAAATTATTCGGTCATAGCAAGTGAAATGAGAAGAGGATATGCGGGCAGCAAATACCATTGTAAAATATATTATAAAGATAACATGATTAAAAAATAGAATTTATGCACCTGACATCCCTTCTTATGATGGAATCCAACAACTGCAACGTGCAGTATAACGGAGTCTTTTCCGGTACCGCACTTCATGTATCTGTAAAATAATAAGGTCATTAACAGAACTATAAAATCAACAAATTTAAGTTCAACAGTACGATAACAATTTATTTTCCTCTCCTAACAGCTAACTTCTCAACAACGAAAAAAGGACAGTTAATACTACAGCTGTTTAGCTGTTACTCGGGGTCACCAATCAAATATAAAAATTACTTTGAGAAAACAATCCTCAATAGAGCATCAACCCTACCACTTTTGCCCTTGACGCTTAACATAAAAATAATCGAACCTTAAACCTTAAGGAATACCAAATACTTTTTTTTTTTTTGCAGCACTAGACTATTTGATAGATGCAAAAAAACCCTAATCCATACTACATTTACCGGCCAAACTAATTAACGTGACCCTATCCCACTATGCTCTTTTTGCCTTTTCACAACATTCGCATTTAGTTGCAAAAACGAAAAAAGAAATTAATGAAATAAATGCGACCGAAGATTACTCCAATGAAAACCCATACTTCATCGTTGATAATTTATAGCATCAGATAAACATTGACCGATATCAACAATGATACAAACATAGTTTAGCCAACCAAAAATTAACATCTACTCAATAATAATATAAGCTAGTGATAACCTGTTTTTTCTTCTTTCTAGAACATTTTATCTTTAAAACCATCAGATGTGTTCAATAAAAAAAAACAAAAACCAACATCTAAAGTGAATAAGAAATAAAGAAAGGAACAAGTAGCATGAATGAATGAGCCGAAAACAATGGTTTTAATGTTGACGTAATTAACAACAGCGAGGCCGTCATGAAGCTGAACAGCCCGATATGTTTAATCGATGAAAGTGACATAAATGTACAAACAAATTCAATAGAACTTGCGTCAAGCTATAACTGGAAAAACGACTGAACCAATGAAGACGTTAAAACATAATGTAATAAACGAGTAACAATGTAACCGAGTGAAAATAGCATCACAGATCAAAGAGAAACTACGAATCAAAAATAGTTTCAACAAAATTGTTTTCAACTCACAATCCAAAACCGCACCTCCTGCTTCATTTTTTACTGCATTGTAACTTTCTTCCATTTTCTTCAAATATCAATGTTTTTTCAGCACCCTAATTATTCCTCAACACTTCAAGAGCTTAGTGCACTTAAACTTGTTACAATATTTCAGTGACAAAAAATAATGTTTTAAAAAATGAAAATCAAGACCCACGATGCAATTTACTCTCCAGACGACTGTCAAAAATAAACGTGTACAACAGTTTAGCTTAAACTTTGAGTAAGGTCTTTTAAAGAATTATTTAAACTAAAGCTATAGCCGGAAGGGAAAAGTTTATGAGCACTGAGACAAACAAAAATAAAAGTGCTTTTCAACCAAAGTAAGCTGCGAAAATTTGCTGTTAAAACAAGCAAAGTTTTGTAACCCTACATTTCATCAAAAGAGTTACCGATATTAACTTTGTAATTAGAAGTAAAAAAAAAAAA